TGTAATGGAACTGTAATCAAAAGTCCCTAAGCTCCTGTAGGAATCTCCCATATTTTTTCAATAGGGTTTTTTTCCCCACATGAAGCAAGGGGTGGCTCAACAGGCAGTTGGCCCTACTGGGAGAATATAATGAAAGCAGACTTGGCTTTGGTCATTGTGCAAAGCATAATGAAGGCAGACCTGGCTTTGGTCATGGTGCAAAGCATGGAGCTCAATGAACCACAATATTCACTAGGCAGGACAGAGTTATCTCTGTCCATTCAGTGAAAAATCCCGGGAAGGGATGCTGACTTAAGTTATTAAATTTGGGCAAATTACTTAACCTCTTTGAGCCCTGGTACTGTTATCCTTAAAATGAGAGGGTTAGATGAAAAGCTATCTAAGGGTCCTCCATGCCAGCTCTAAATCATGTTTCTATAAGGTAATACATAAAGCTCAGAGATGCTCTGAAACGGGCTGCAACTCCAAGGCTTCTGGAGCCCCCTGCTGGGTGACTTGCAAGGCAGCAAAAAGTTTAGCAGCTTGGCTACAAGGCAGCCTGAGTATAATCTTACCTCTTTGAGTACTGTTAACTATCTCTTCCCCCCAGACCAGAGATGTGCATAGGATCTCTATCCACAGTGTCAGTGAAGTGACTACATGATACAAGAAATCCTACCAAGATTTTGGTCTGTGCTCTCTGTCTACATGTTTTGTCCTCCACTCCTGGATCATCAATGGGTTCTAAAAAATAAATTTCTCAACATTTAAAGACAAAAATTTAGAATCTGAAAATAAACCAATGGTACAATTAAAAAAATTTCCTCAAGTTAAAAAAAAATCCAACGTTATTTTTTTTGGCATTTCAAGTACTTGTTACTTTAGAACCTCTAATTTTATCTGTGTATATCTATCTTTCCACTATAAAGTTTTCCATGCCTTCTTATCCATGTCTTTTTGGAAATGCTACATAAGGGATCTATGAGTATGCTAAAAGGCTTCCTTTGTTGTAAAGACTTCATATATAACTGTTTTTCAAATTATCGTCAGCAAGAAATCATTAACAAAAATCAAAGAAATCAGTTTTTGTTTGCCCCTGTTGTACAGCTTTTAGTCACCTCTCTAATTCCATAGATAGAAAAGTTAGCACATGAAAAGGAACAATAACAACGATGAGCTTCAATTCCTACATTTATGTGTCTTTCAATATAACTTCTTGAGAGAAGCAGTATGATTATAGTGGACAGGTTTTAGAGTCAAGAAGCCCTGGGCTAAAATCTGGGCAGTGTATTTAACTTTTGAGCGTTCCAAGACTATAAATTACAGAGCAGTTGCTAAATTGCATTAGGCAGGGTGTTCTTTACTAGGTGCTTCTTCTACTAATGAATTCACAGGTCCACACAAAAAAACCAAATGAAAAAACCACCTGTTTAATGAATGAAGCTTTGTATTTCATTTCAGTGTTAAAATGAGTGAAAAAATTTTAATTGAAATTTGTATTGCTTAAATCAAATAAATGTGTACAAACATAATATATGGCTACATAATTTCTGTAGGCAACAATAAAGAATTGGATACATTACAAAGTCTGAGTTAAGAAACTCACTATCTCCACATACACATTCATATACATAGGCCACGTAACAGCCTACATCCTTTGATCTAGTAATTCTACCTTTGAGAACAAACCCCTTGGAACAACTCAAAGAAAAAGTAACTTGTAACAGAGAATTCCACAACTATTCTATTTTGTCTGAACTTAAAATCACGTGGGGCTCCCCAACAACGATACTCTCTCAAACAATTCAGATCATCACTATTCTGCCATTTGCAGTCTTAGCTGCCTGGAGCACTGAAGAGGGTAACTTGCTCAGAGTCTCACAGCCAATAAGCATCAGAGAGAGGGTCTTGAATCCAGGTCTTCCTGTTCTGGAACCTGCCCTCTATGCACTATGCCATGCTCCCTCTCTCATTATTTACAATAACATTTGTAAGCAATTCAAATGATCAACAGCAGAGAAAGTTTAAATTAACAGAATTTGGGCACTAGTAAGTCAGCAAACTGTTGACATGTGAAAAACAACACAGAGAATAATGCTAACTGAAAAAAAAAAGCAGGGCTCAAAATAGTGCACACAAACTGTTTACAAGCATATAAAAAACAAAGTACTATAGATAAAGAAAACTTCATAGAATCATAGGTTTGGTACTGGAAAGAATCTCCGGCTGGCTAGCCCAAACTATTCATTTTACATACAGAGAAACTAAGGCCCAGAAAAATTACCCTAAGCTCACAGAAAGAAAACAGTTATCGATACTGCTCACTTTTTAAAAGTCTCTCTCTCTCCTCTTTTCATTCTTAGTGCTAACCACCTTAGTCCAAGTCCTCAATTAACTTTAAGCACAGATTAACCTTAAAGGCTAAGTGGTCTTCTCCACCTCTATCTACTTTCATCTTCTCTCTTCTATTTTCAATCAAACCTGTAGTTACCCATCAGGTGATGAAAGCACTAAGATACAGAAGGTTATTATGATCTAAAAGCAAGAAGTGAAAGTATTTATACCAATGAAAACATGGCTCCTTAAAATACTGTATGCCATTCTCCCAATGATACAGGAAGCTACTGGGAGGACGATTTGTGTCAAAATTTGTGCATCCCACAGGATGTATTCAATACTTGCTACAATGACTATAAGTTCCCCAAACAAAGAAGCAATATTATATCTCAATGTCATGCAAATGCCAGTTTCATTTTTCACTAATGTTTCTGTGGGTAAACCTGTGACCAGCACTATATAAGCTATACTTCTATAAAGAAACTTGCTATGACTCAGCACAAATCTATATGAAGCTAGTCAGTGTAAGCTGAGAATTGGGTATTTCGTATCTTAAAATTTGATAGTATTTTAAACTTCCACTAGGGCCCTACTCTTCATTGTGGAATGGAAGTGATGTTGGGTTCTCTAAGTCTGTGCCAATACAAGTTCTGGCAAGTGCCACCAAACTGGAAGGGCTTTGAACCAGCCTGGCAACATACTCTGTATGTTGTCCAATGACCTGCCTAGATAAATTTAATGAAATCTATCACCGGAAAACTGGAGACTAGGTAAGGCTCTGGTCTTCTGACCAGAGCAAGGCATGAAGACCATCTATTATGGCATAGTGAGGTCTGATTTGTGTCAGTATTCACAATGATGAACTAATCCTTTTGAAGTACTATGAAGAGTTTTAAAACTTTAAACTAGAGGAAAACTTTAAAAACTAGAAGAAAATCAACTTAGAACTGACTTTAAAATGTTGGTTTTGTGAAAAAGCATACACATTTGTGTCTACAGTCTAACTTATTATATCAGGCTTTATCTCTAAGTAGTTAATGTTTAGGGGCTGTATGGACTCTTGTATACCAAAGGTTAACTGCAATGGTAAGCTATGTTTTTACACACCCACACACACACAGCTGTGACTACATTTGCGAAGCTCTAAAAATTCTTAAAGAAAATTAACTTAGCTTTTAGAAAATTCAGGTGAAGAGATATGCTTAATAAGAGGATATATAAAGCTTTAGTTACTTGAAGGGTTTGGTAACTCTTTTGGCCACAAGGTGAACTTCTGAATTAAAAAAAGTGAAGACTGCCCCATTTTAAAATTTTCTACTTGCACACCCAAAGACACTGTAAAAAAAATCTTTAAAAAAGTAATATTTTTAACACAAAGATACTGTGGTGGGATGGAAAGAACACTGAATTGGAAATCAGGAGATCTGGCTCTAGTGCCTGCCAAAGAAACTACTAGCTTTGTGATCCTGGGCAAGTCACAACCTCTGGAGAACTTGGTTTGTTCATCTGTAAAATGAGAGGAGTGGACTATTAAAGCTCCTAGCTTTAGTAGTTTTAAAAATTCTTGAAGTTTGAAAGCTTTTCTCCCAGTTGTAGGGAGAAAAAAGCCATTAATTTCATCAAGTTAAAATATAAAATATATATTTAGAAACAAAAGATGACAATTCAGTCAACTGAAAATGTTAAAGACCCAGGGAAACAGGCAAATTCTAGTCACGTTAATATTCTCAGCACGGATATGAGTGTTCAGACATAGATTACCGAGCTCTTCCTCTGTAAATTAGGCCTAACAGTACCTATCACCATGGTATATTTAGTGCCTGGATGCTGATAACACGGAGCCATGCTATGACAACGTAAAAGCAGTAGCAGCTTTCAGGGCTCTTCCAGGAATGGTGGGAAAGTTCTCTGGATGAGCCTGGGATCACAAGGCTGCCTAGACGATGAAGGACCGGAACACAATACGGAGCCCAAGTGCTACCTAGGTGCCCTCAAACCTTCACCCAGACTGTTCCTCCTTCCTCCCTCACCCACCTGTCAAAGCCTAAGTCCAGCTGCACCCCCCAGCGGGACGCGAGGGGACCACGATCCAACTTCTACCCTTCTCCCGCCCCAGCAAGTGTCCCACGGACCACCTTCATCAGGAGGATCGCAGAGAGCTCCCGGGGTCCCCACCCCTCCCCCCGCGGTCGCCCTCTGCTCGGCGGACCGGAGTTCCAGCTCGCCCGGCGCCCTCCTGGCCTCCCCCGCCCCCCGCGCCCTGCCCGCTCGGCCGAGCTCCTCGGGCAGGCACGGCCTCCGGCGACAGCCACGCTCCTCTCCGCCCCCCAACTCCAGCCCGCACCCCGACGGCAGAGAGCCGGGCGAGGGCACCGGAGGGGAGCACCGCCCCCTCCGCTCCGCTCCCCGACCCCGCTCCCCTCCCCGGAGCGCCGAAGCTGCACGGCCCCCCGCCCACCCCGGACGTCCGAGGCGCCCGTCGCCCACCCTGGCCCCGCTCTCCGCCTCAGCTCGACCGAGAGAGGACCCTTACCCCGCAAGCTCCTCCCGCCGCTGCCGCTGCTCCCGCTGCCGTCACCCCCGCCACCGCCGCCGCCGCCTCCCCCAGCGCCGCCGTCCACCCCGGCGCCGGCACTCCCGGCCATCCTCCTCCCGCCGCCGCCCTCTCCGCCCCTGTCACACACAGGTTCGGGATCCACGACTGCTTCGGGTTCCCCTCGGCGCCATTTTGACTCCTCGAGAGAGAGCAGGAGTGGCTCACTCGGCGCGGCCCCCGGGGCGCCTGCGCGACGCTGCGGAGCCGGCCGGGAGGGAGGGACTGAGGGAGGGAGAGGCCCCCCTGCCCCCTTCGCCCGTCGCCGACGCCGTCACGTGGTACGACGCTGGCGGGCGCGTCCCGGCGAAGGGGGAAACGCGTTCTGGGAGCAGAAGGGAGGCATCCAAGGGGCGGGGAGCGCTTTCCAGGGAAAGGAAAGAGGGAGGTGTGTGGGAGCCGGATGGCGGAACCGAGCTCTTTCTTCACTCGCTTCGTTTGTAGTCTGTGCTCGTCACGAGTTGGCTCCTCTAGGCCGAAAAGTAGAACGTTGATTAAAAGAAGAGCAGGCGCTTCACGCTTTGTCCCCCGAAGCGGGTTTGTTGTGATCCCTCATTCATGGACTGCAGGGAATCCTAGTCAAGGAGGACGCTGCCTTTCTTTAGAAAAGTGACTTTTTTCCTTTCTTTTTTTTAAGGACAGGAAGCTTTGCAATCTTCCTAGGCAGATTTCGACTGCAGTGGTTTTTAGTCACCTAGATATGTGTTCGGTCACGTTTTAGAGAGCAAGTGCTCTAAAAATACATTGTGTCGATTGATCTCCATAGGTGATAAGTGGGTTATCCCCTAGTTTACGAGTGAGAGAGCCAAGGGTCAGAGAGAACCAGGGTTGTGCTGTTTATGTTTAACGGCCTGCTCTCCGGGAGAAAAAAAATGTGTACTGCAACATGCTTTTAAGTGTAATCGGCATTTTTTTACAACCTCCTTTCCCCCTCATCAGTTTCTTAAGCTTAAGCAAAGAACAAAACGATAAATCCAGCAGAATTTGCAGAGGTGTAAATGTTAATGCTCGAACTGCAACATTTTTAACAATCAGCTTTCTCGCAAACTGGTTTAAGTTGGTTCTAGTGTGCCGAGGGAGAGCTGAAGTAATCCACCTAGGACAGAAACCCCAGGTCTTCTGGTTGCACGGTCGGTGCTCTTTAGATATCTTGCGTTTGTAGATATCTAGGACTTTAGAATCTTCAAAGATACTTATTTTCTCTAGTCGCCCACCTAAACAAATACCAAATTCATAAAGAGCATGAAATTGTAGACTGGTTTTCTCAGTGGCACCAGGAGATTAGTGTGAGAGCATGGCTCTACTTCATGATTCAGCTCAAAATGTCCTTAATTTCCCTCCAACATCCCTTAATGGTCTGCTGTTTCCTGTTGGCTAAACTATAGTTAAGTGTGGCCTGGAAGAGAAGGGGCTCACTTTGGGTCAGGAAGACCTCTGCATCCCTCTGCTAAACACGGATTGTATGATCCTGGGAAAATCGCAGTGCCTCATGCCCTAAAACTGCAAGTTTCCTGGCAGGTATTGATCTACATGGGAAAAGGAAGGGACTTCCTTAATGAGAGTTCCTTATAGATGGAATTATAGCTCTGGCTTAAAACAAAACAAAACAGTAAGCCTTACCAGGTCCTCCCAGCTACTACAGCCTTCCCCTCTAAGGTTATTTTCCAGCTACTCTGTATATAATTTTATATTTTGTCAATCATAAACATTTATTAAGCACCCTGTGCCAGGCACTAGGAATACTGTGCTATGCAGTGAGGATACAAAAAAAAAAAACAAAAAAAACCAACCCTTGCTCTCAAGAAACACTCTAAAGGGGGAGATGACTGTATCTACAAGATACATAGAGGATAGATTGCAGATAATAGAGGAAAGGCACTAGCTAAGGGGAGGTAGGGGGGAGAGGTCTAGGAAATGCTTCCTGTAAAAAGTGAAATTTTTTGCTAGGACTGTGAAGGAAGCCAGAGAAGCCAGGAGGTAGAGATGAAGAGTGAGAGCATTCTATGAATGAAGGACAGTCAAGGAAAATGTTTGGAATGAGACATGGGGTTTCTTGTTTGAAGAACAGCAAGGAAGTCAAGAGCACATGGATATAAGGTATAAGAAGATTGGAAATCTTTGAAAGCCAAACAGAGGATTTTTTATTTGATCCTAGAGGTGATAGAAAACTACTGGAGCTTATTTAGTGTGCATTTTAGGAAGATCTCTCACAGCTAAGAAAAGAGTAGACTGAAATGGGAAAAGACTTGTGGTGGGGAGTTAGGAGAAATTAATACTGTACTATTATATTAATAACTATTAATTTGCATTCCACTCTTTTCCTTCCGTTTCTGTTAAAACCCAACTCTTAAAAAGGTCAGTCTCTGGAAGGATAAAGCTAAGTGATGAGATTGTTCCTAGCCCTCAAGGTACATTAACTTTGGGGTGGGACTCCCACCCAACTGGAAAACCTAATTTCTATTTAGAGTATAAGCAGAATCCAGTCTGGGTGAACCTTTGCCTAGAGGAGGAATCCCCTGTCCTCGATCTCCTCCGTTATAGTTTAGGGCAATCCAGCTCATGGAGGAGAAAACTAGTTACAGAGGCACAGATGGAGATGGCTTCACCTGCCCAGATGCCTTGAGGCTGCTGAGTCTCATGATCAAGCTACATTCTCAGCAGGAGGAGCTGAAGACTTTAGCCCACCTCCTCATTAGATGTTCACCAATCAGAGTTGATTTTCACATGTCAGGGGAATTCTTTCAGAGGGGATTTAAGACTTTTCAGGGTGTCCCCTGGCATCTTTGGTTACTAAGAGAAACTGCTGACCATCAATTTATTGATTGCCAGCTAACCTAGTTAATAAAATTGATTATTAATTACCCAAACACTCTGTCTCAAGGTTTTCATTCACCTCAGAATTCGACTAGAAGGAGTGAGGTGATAAGAGCCTTCACTAGAGTGGTGATAGTATCAGAGGAGAGAAGGGAACATATAGATGAGATTTCACAAAGTTAAAATCAATAGGCCTTAGTAACATTGGGTCGGGGCGAGGGGGGTAGTGGTGGAAGAGAGTGAGAGTGAAGTGTCAAGGATAACACCTTGGTTTTGAGCCTGGGTCACTGGGAAGATGATGGGACCCTCAACATTAACAGGAAAGTAGGAAGAGGGGATGGTTTTGAACATGAGTTCTGTTTTAGATATGTTGAGTTTAAGATATCCATGGGATTTCCAGTTCAAGATGTCCAATAGGTAGTTGGAAATGCAAGATTGGAGGTCATCAGAGTTTTGGGTTGTAGATTTGAGAATCATCAGCATAGAGATGATAATTAAATCCATGGAAGGGGATGAGAACATCAAGTGAAATAGTACAGAGGGACAAGAGAAGAGAGACCAGAACAGAGTCATGTGGGACACACCTAGATGAAGATCTAGCAAGGGAGTCAGAGACAGAGTAGTCAGGTATGAGGAGAACGAGGATATAATAATGTCATAAAAACCTGGAGAGAAGAGCTTATCATTGAGAAGATGATCAACTGTATTAAAGACTGCCCAGAAGTCTGTAAAATAGCAAAGCAGCAAGCTCCTACCAAAATGACAGCAATATACCCACTTGTCCTAGGGATTCTTTAAGTTTGGAGCCTGAGAACTGAGCTGTTCCAGACAGCCTTGAAGAGTTTGGTAAGCTATGTAACAAAGGATTCAGAGCAACTTGGAATCTGCCAACACTTTGTGCAGAGCAGACACCAGTGGAAAGTTGGATCATAGATAAGACCTCAAACAATACAAATTGTGACCAAACAGAGGCTCAGCATTCCATTCAAGTCTACAAGAGCACTCAGAGCCTGGTCCTGACAGAGATCCAGTTCAGGAAGGAAAGAATATACTAAACTTATTATAAAGAAGAAAATCAACAAATTTTAGAACTTCACCTAAACAGCCAAATGGAAATTCTAAAAATCAAAAGAGATTCAAATTAACAAAATTGAAGGCCTAAAACCATTTAATTAATAAATCTAGAAGCTGTTTTGGGGAAGAAAACCCACTAAGCTAGAGAGACCATTGCCTTTTAAAGAGAGAGGAGAAAAACAAATTCTTAGTATCAAAGATGGAAAATGAGAAATCACAACAAAGAAATTTTTAAACATTATTGGAAATCTTTTTGCTCAATTACATGCCAACAAAGTTGATATTTTAAATGAAATGGATGAATAGCTAGAAAAAAAGTAAAATAACCAGATTAACAGAATTAGAAAGATAATTTAAATACAAGTCCTAAATGACCTACCAAAGAAAAACCAACACTAGATGAATTTATAAGTGAATTCTTGCAAAGATTTAAAAAACAATTCCAATATTACATAAACTGTTTGCAAAAAATAGAAAAGGCAGGGATCCCACAAATTCCTTCTTATAAAAAAATTGCCTTGATATCTAAACCAGAGAAAACTAGAGACCAACAATCCCTAATTAATATCAATCCAAAATTTGGGGGAAAAAATCACCTATATAATAGAAATAGTAGCTAGCATTTTTGTAGTGCTTTAAAACTTGCAAAATGCATTTGCATATATTATCTCATTTTATGTTCCTAGCAACCCTATTATCCTAATTTCAAATCTGAGGAAACTGAGGCTGAGAAAGTTTAACTTGCTGAAGGTCACACAGCTAATAAGCATCTAAGACAATATTTGAATTGGGGTTTTCCTAACTCCAGGTCCAGCTTTCTATCCACAGTACCACTTAGGTTTTATATTTCCCCCAAACCTTCTTCCCTAAGAGATTTCTCTAATTACAAATAATGTTTTTAAAAGAAAGCAAAGTAAGTCAGCAAAATCAGTAAACATAAATTTTTTTGGACATATGCAGAATTTCACAACCCTGTACCCCAGCCTTTGCAAAGGAACAAGGGAAGGTATCTTTTCATATCATTTCTTTGGAGCCAAGCTTATTCTTTATAATTTCAAAACATCACTTAAAAAAATTTGTTGTTGATATATTTGTTTTTATATTACCAAAACTTCTCCCAGTATTCCTTGAAATACTTACCCTTTCTTGGCGAAGGGGTAAGGTGGGCTTTAGGGAGTGATATTCCAGGATGAGCAGGCTGCTGAGATGCTAGGATGTTCCAAGTGAGGAAACCCCAAGCTCTGAAGGAAGTTCTAGGATGAAACAACAGTAAAGTCTTGACTTTGAATTCCAGAGTAAGTCAGGAACATGCATGACCCTCAAGTTTTATCCAACCA